GTTTAAGGAACTTTTAGTAAAATTAGCAGCTAGAAATGGAGATTTACGATAAAAATCATAGTAAACCGATCGAATGCAATGTTATTTTAACTTAGCAAAGTTCAACGGAAATGGAACTGTTTGTAAGCGCATAGTTACGTAGACTCGATTTACTTTGATTTTAGTCTCGTCTTGTTTTGTTTACAAGCAGACCTCTAAATCAGGTTTTATCTTTGTCAAGATTGGCTGGCTGACTGTTGGGTCAGGACGCTAGCAAGCGAAAAGTATTTTGATTCTTTGAGCTCCAGTACTTTACAAAAATTGTAAAGGCTGACCACTTCAAAATGGAATGCCTCGGGGCCGATTTTATTTCCCGGTCCAAGCGTATTTGTATACATAGGTAATGTAACAAGTTTAGGCGCCTTTGTACACGATACGAATTTTCGCCCTGCGACTATTCGACGACTTAACCGGATGGACGTTGGACCCTTGTACACGATACGAAATCTCGGAGTACGCCTGAGGCAAAAACGTCGATTGGAGAGTCATAGTTATCAAATGTAGTTGGAGTGTTAGTATTCACTTTAGTACCGTGTAAATTCTAAAAGAATTATTTGCGAAATTTAAGTTCCTTTTGTGATTAAATAATAAAAACTACCCCCTTTAATAAAATATACTCCCCTTTGTCCTAAATAAAAGGAATCACATTCCGAACACTCCGGCTTATAGACTCCAGCTTTATCAAATTTATTTACTTAATGTTTTGTATTAAAATAGACATGAGTAAAAGAAAACAATGTTAAATAAATGTGTATCTCGTCATGGATGACGTTGGCTACGTTAGGTTATGTTCCGTCATTTTACTGATACATACATGTGCATATTTTAAAACTCACCGTTTGTGACATAAACCATCTGATTAGACGTTAAATATTAAATATCAGATGGATTTTTTTTTCATTTCCTATTTAAAACCGACTCTCCTATCTTATGGTTCGACGGCTTTGAACTTTTCTGTTTTGGTTAAGAAAAATATGCGCTGTTTAACCCTAATAAAAATGGTTGTGTCTTTCCGGCGAATTCTTCATACGACGTTTTAGCCAGAACGGCGTTGTTTACAAGCTTCCATTTGACACTGTGGTCCACTGCCCGGCGATCTAGCCGGATAGATGCAAGGCACGACTGTTTAGATCGATTTTAGTACAGAAACGAATTCCGACATCGAGTTTGAGTTGTAAATGAGAAACATGGATTTTCATATTACAAGGGATTTTCCATCCACTATAAGTATGGGAATTTTTTAAGTCATGTATTCTATTCTAAATAAGTAATAATAAGAGGCTATTTCCAAATTTTCTGAACTATGTACTTAATCTTTTTCTTCTAATATAATATGGGACTAATAATAGTGATGTTAGCTTAGAATTCGAAAGAATTAAAAGTGTTTATTAAATAAAATGAAATACAAAATGAACATATCATAAGTTCGTACAAATTCGATCCTCTACAACCGCTGTCTTCGAGAACTGATTCAACTCTCCCCCGCAAGACTGACCGTAATGTTTTTGAGACCCTCGGTCAAGTATACCCTCTCTGTCTCTCTTTACCCCAACGTTGNTTCGCTACGCCAGTTGTTGTTAAGTTGTAAATATATGTTGTTGTTATCTAGTTTTAATTATTCGTTTTCTAAGTCCTCCTCAAAACCTTCTATAAGCAAGGTGACCTAAATAAACTTACAAAATCTACCAAATAAGGTTATAGTTGCCCTGGAGTTTTTCATTTTAGCTGCTTTCATTAGATAATGCCCTTCTTTCTTTTATATTCGTGACATATTTTCTTCTCGTAATGTTACCCACAATCAAATCAGAACCAACAAATTGGAACTTCGGCAATGACAGCTTAGGTTTCGAAATGTCAATATTGTTTGTTTACTTACCTACATATTATGCGCCGTTCTGGTTTTATCTTCCTTCCGTACGCATGAAGAGATTGAACGTGGAAGGAAATTCATCAAATTCAATAACTATTCAGTTTCTTTTCGAAAGCAATTAACCCGTATGCATTATTTATCAAGTATCGCAATTGATTCGTCTATGTCAAAATTAACACTGTCAAATCACGATTCTCGATCTCTTTGATTTTTGAGTAATTTAAAAGGTCATCCTCACAAAACTGGGAAAATGCTATTTTTAACTGCTTATCAGATTTGACGAAAATATGCCTACATAAAATATACTATTGTTTATCAAAAACAAAAAAAAGTTTATCACACATCGAATTGTATAACTGGTGCAGTTCTAATTCGAGTTTAAAGCACGAGTGGCGAATTTCTTCAACTGAGACTAAATCCTAACCAACGTTAGGAAGCAAGTTACATGAAAACCTTTAGACCAGAATCAGAACAGTATTAGTTCACCTATTGGTCTCGAAAGCCTTTACCAATCTAATCGTATGTTTAATCTAGGAACGATAATCATATAATAACGTGCTAATAATCCCTTAAACTGCTTTACATATTACATAAGGTCGTCAGTCCTAAGACTGGTTGGACACGCACCTCCACTCTTTCTTATCCTGAGCTAATCTTCGCATTTCCCTAAAACTAGAACAACCCACATCCTTAACTATTTGCGAACAGTAATCNGAGAGGACGCAGTAGTTTTCTTAAAGTTTATTGCTTAAAAATATTTTGCTTCTTATTCTAAACATACGGATAACAATTACTTAATCCCTTAAAATTACAAACTATTCCTAAATTACTTTAAGCCTACCATAAACTAAAAAGCACGCATTCCCGATACTACAATAATAAACCCCAATTTGAACTAGACACTAGACTATATATAAAGAGACGCCGCAATTTTTTAAAAACCTGTAGCATGAAAACTACGATACGCAGGTCACGGTGAGCATGACCTGCGTCTCTTTACACTGCGATGCCATCTAACGAAACCACAATTATTTCTGTGGTTTACAAATTCTCGCCGTTACCCTACAGAACGTCCCTAAGGTCTAAGACTTGGTGTAAAATGAGTTGCAGCATAGTGATGTGACGTAGATTTTCTCGCGGTGCAGCTTACTGCACTGCATCACGTCACTCTGCAATACCATTTTATTATGCGGTCATATTTGTTTCTGTGTTTTCGAAAATCAGCCACTAATGCTTTGATAGTAAAGAAAAAAAATATTATGCACCCTGAGTAGTCTATGCAATTTGCTTGTTGTGGTTGCGTCTTATCTACTTTTAAAGGCGTGCTGACCCATATACCGCTCAAGTTCTAGCCGCATGTGCCTAACGCATCGTATGAACTGTGTCTTATAGCGAGATTACTCCGAGCATAAAATTGAGCGTTTAGAATTCTATCGCAGTTTATACATCTTGTCTGATAAGTATTCCGTAAAAGTTAAAGGGGAAGAAGATACAACAAAAAGAAATAAAATGAGCTATCTCGCACCACCCAGTGAAATATATAAACATAAGGGTAATGATCTTGCCGAAAGCCCCAATTGCTCCGGCAATGACGACCAGGATTACTTAGCGTAATAATTGTGTAACGCGGCGTGGCTACAAGCGGTGGTAGATTTCCGTACGCGTACACCGACAAGGAAGGAATGCACTGCCGCTTACTACATACGGAGAGGGTAATGGTACAATTCGCAAAAGCAAAAAAAAGCAAAAACACTTCCTTAGAATCTTCCACACTATATCATGCGGAATGGCTGTTTGTCGTACAATGACTTGCATTCTCAAGCCGGGGTTGACTTCAATTAATCGCACAACAATTTTGTCAGTATCTGTCGTCTTTGCTGGTCCTTATCCCCCTGGTGCGGTATCACACTTCCTATGTGACGAGTGCAATTCTCACTGTAGTCGTTATGTCCGCATATTTTCAAAATAAAGTTATTTTTGTATTTTGTGATAGATAATAGCAGTAACTTTGCCAATCGAACGATAACTACGGAGTGAAGACGACTGCTAGTTATTACGTGCAATTGGCCTGTTTGCATACCAGGCTGTTCTGAAAGTCATGAGTAGGTACGCCTGTATCGTCAATTGACGCTGGCGATAACGGAAGGCGATAAGATAACCCGGCAGCCAACCTGACGAGTGTTCTCAATCATTGTTGGTTCATATAACTGGGGTAATTTTTGTACATAGTTTTTACGCCCCCTACTTAAGTAATTCGAAAAGAATATTTTCTTTTTAAAAATTTATTTTAGCATTAGGACCGACATAAATCTGTTACTAGACTAACTTACTTTCTAAATTTTTGATATTTTATATTTTGAATTTATCTATTTCTAAATAGAGACTATCTTAACAATATGGATGTCTTAATTTAATCATTATTAAGAATAAACATAATAGGCTAATAGAATCGATATCAAGAATACACAAACAATATGTCATATCTGAAAGGATGCAGATTATTTATTATCGTCTAATAAGTTTGTCAAATATGTAACTCCCTTGCTTGCGACGCTATCACGGGATACACTTTACAGTGCTTCAGATGTTACCTTTCAAATATTCTGAAACAACGATAAAATGATTGAAAATAACTCGTCATGGACAAAAGAGCGGTAAAAGAATTACGATTTTATCTCTCTTCAACGCTCATGTTCATTTATAACTAATACCTATAGATAGACGTTTTCACCCTCAAAGCATCCCAAATCGTATTTGACTGGTTTTTATCAGTTTTCATTTTTTGTCCAATACACAGTCCTCGAAAAATTTTTCTTTGTCTTTACTTTCTTTGTTAAATACTTATACCCCTAAATATAGGTTGATTGTTGACGTATCTATTCATTTTGACTAGATCCCTAGTTTCTTTATTTACGTCAGCCAGCCAGATAAACTGGCAAGATTGATTTTGTAAGTAACAAATTTCCGAAAAAATATTCTAAATATAGGAAAACAAAAATATAGGTAACGGCGGATTTCAATTACGAAATAAAAGAAAAAACTCTCCCTTATTGTTTTAATATTAACAGCACGTGAATTGAGATCAACATACCTTTGGTAGTCCTGAATCCTTGATTGATGGCACGTGTGGTTCTCACCGCAGCCCTATAAATACGCCAGTAGAAAAACAACATCACGAACATGGGAATGTAGAAGGATCCTAAAGCAGAGTAAACAACGTATCCAGCTTCATTAGTCAGTTCACACTTCCATGGGCACGGAGTGTCCTTTTCCAATTCCGTCACGTTGCTAGCGTTCTCAGCCTTCAAACAAAAAATAAGACAACATAAATAAAAAAATTCTGTACAACATTCACTTAAAAAGTGCATTCTTCAAGTTTAAGCAATGATTAGACTGGGCGTTGCACGTTGCAAAATTAGCCTGTTCATTAAAATGAGATTGTTGATTAAATTATTATAAATTAATCGTATAAAAACCACCATATGTTTCTAAAAATATCCAGAAATACAAATTACTTTGTGATTGATTGATTTTATTCAATCGGAAAATTGTTACTAATCGAAATATTGAAGAAGATACTAACGTAAACTAATCTAAAGAAACTGGATTTCCGGATTCTAACCATGTCTTCTTGATAAAATTCCCATGTCAGATCATGGTGGCGTCATAAGTATTCAACGTTTCGTTCCCTATTACAAGGGACATCTTTAGGAACTTTAAGATGCGGTTAGAATCCGGAAATCCAATTTCTTCAGACAAAAGCCGTGAAAGCCTAAATCTACTTCTAAGTACCCTTATCTAATCCAACCTTAACATAATAAAAATGCATGATAAATTAAAACAGTCTTGACATCCGATTGGATGCTATCGTGCATCACACGTATGCAACATCATAACTGTTACATACGGATATGTGTCTTGCACATGCACTATTCATTCTAAAATGTTATTTGTGTGAATGACAATAAGTAAATACACCGAATGTGACGATGACATTTTCGTAATGTTCATTCGTAGGTAGCTACTTCTAAGAGAAAGAAAATCACTAGAAAAATCTTTCGCGATACTTGGTTAGGTTTAAGTTCTATTTATGATTTGCTGCTAATTAGTCCAGGCGAATTAGCTGAAATATCAGCGTTTTTTGGAAAATACTTTTTCTCGAAAACTCTTCATTTATTGAAGAAACATTATTACTTAGAAAAGTCGAACTCCCTTAGCCTTATCGAAAAAGTGATGCTAAACAACGCTCCTATTTAACTTTTTCGATTAAATCATTGGAAAAAAAGTTATAGAAGAAAAACGAAAAAAACATCGAAAAAGCTACTTTAACTAGCAATTTACATACAAAAATCAAATCTCGTCCGAATTTTTCAACACAAAACTGTAATTTGGTTACACTAAGCATAGTTGATACACTAGAGTCGAAAACAATGGATGACGATGAGTTGCTTTTATTAGCGTTACTGTTCTATTCAATGAGAAAAAGAAAAATAAAACGTCAATAGTAGGCTCATCCTCAGAAGATTGCAAAACAACCATTTTTTCCATGAAACACGCGAGATTGAGACACTATCCTGATAAATGCTTCAATTTCGATTGAATGCTTCAGGCCAGACCTCGATGTATTTTATTGTGATAGTTTTTGTCACATAGATTCTATAAGTCAGGGTGCCTTTTAACGTCTATAATGAAATGTTTCTGTCAATTTCCGTCATTTTTTCTCACTGTTTACTATAAACACATGATGCATCTCGCGGGATCTAGTATAAAATGTATAGAGAACGCGTTCTGATCACATAAATTTCTGACGTCCAGTCGATATACAAGTCAGAATTCTAATAACGTGTCCACAACAAAATGTAAGCGTGGAGTGCCTTTCGGCGAGCATCAGAAATTTTCTAACAGAAATATTCTTACAATGCGCGTCCAGTCTTAAGGTGGGTAAAGACGACACGAACATATTCGAAGCAAGATATGGATGGGCAACTAAGACGAACTAAACTTTAATAGTCGGTACTTCAAAGAGAATTTGATTTGATGTGGAAGGCATTTGTGTGCATACTTGTTTTGTTTACGTACTAATACGGTTTTAATAATAATCATCATCACCAGCCATTATTGACGTGACAACGTTTAATAATTCGATGGAGCACGCACGAAAAAACATGACTCATGCGGCGTTACCTCGCTCTGAGGCGTTCCATTTAAGGCTTGAAGTGCAAGCTAGAGCGCGTAACGAGCGACAAAGAGGCACAATCGGCCTCCGCGTTCGGCAGCGTTCGACATCTGTCTCTCTCCTGCTTGAGTGAGCGATGCGTCCGCGTGGACAGCTGCTATACAATAATACATTTCCATTTACCTCCTTCTCTATATCCATACAAAATATCTATCAAACAAATAAAATTAAAATTTTCTTTTGAAAAATGAAACCATTCCATCAGTATTTTCTTATGACGTTGTCACGTTCAATTATCGTCAATAAACCGACTTTACAGACAACCGATTTTTTTGTTAAATAAATATGAAATGCAATAAAAAGTAGGGCGTAATTGGTTACCGCCGCGCGTTACCTCGTCTTGCCTTGCCCAGAATAAGTTCGTGGTCAGATGTATACGCAATTTCATATTTTAGAAACACTGATTATGATTATTTCAGCATTATGCTCACAGAATTATGTAAAGAACTAAGAAGTTTATTCTTCTTAAAACAATTTTGAAATAATGTTTTCATCTAGACCCGTCGTTCCCAACGTGGGGCGCAGGCCTCACCGGTGGGGCATGGCAATATTTTGGTGGGTCATGGGCAGGACGTGCACCCTTCGGCTGACTATACCAAAGACTATGGGGTAATTAACAGTGAATTGTTTTCTAGTGAGTCTATTGATGTAGACGTTTGTGTTAAAGTATACATAAATGTATTTGTATGTACTTGTGTAATTGGTACACAAGATATTTCCGGTTTCCCCAGCTAATGCCCTTTTAAGCTTCCTTTAGGTGAATAATCCTAAAATTTTGAATCATCATCATCATAAGATCATCAGTCCTAAGACTGGTTGGACACGTACCTCCACTCTTTCCTATCCTGAGCTAAAATTCGCATTTACCTAAAACTAGAACAGCCCACATCCTTAACTATTTGCGAACAGTAATCTAATCTGGGTCTACCTCTACCCCTCCTAACTCCTGTTTCTGCCTCTAATATGTCTCTGACTAGACCTTCATGCCTGAGAAGGTGTCCTACCAACCTATCTCGCCTATTTTTTATTGACTTCCATAGAGTCCTCTGTTCTCCTATTCTTTCCAATACCTCTTCATTTCTAACCTTTTCTACCCACGATATCCTCATCATACGCCTATAACACCACATTTCGAACGCTTGTAACCTTTTCTTTTCCGCCGCTCCCACTGTCCAAGTTTTGCACCCGTACAACGCCGTGCTCCAAACATACACCTTTGACAACCTTTTTCGAATTTCTAAATTAACCGTTCGCGAGCATAGAAGTGACAAAATTTAAATATTACGAGGGAAGCATCAAGATTTTAGAAATGCCTAGGTGGGCATGGTCCAAAATCGGTTGGGAACCACTGAACTAGACTAAGGTTTGGAGGTACGTACATTAAATACAATTAATGTTCCCCAGGATATAAAATAGCATATCTACGTCTTAAATTCGATAACAAAACCAAAAGAAAGTGCAAAATTAAAGCCCTCTTGAAAATCGGTTATGTTTTCGGCTAAAAATATCCGAAGTTTGTTTCGCATTTATGCACGGAAGAAAAAAGAATAGGTAATGTAAACTGAACGTAGGCGGCGTGGCGTAGGATGGCGTGACTTCTTTCCCCAGTTTTCTTTTATTCCGGTAAAGTTATTTTCCGAACATTTGAAAACTGAATATCTCTTAACAAGCTGTAAAATCCAGAGAATTTCAGGAAAAATTGTACTAGGAAGATTCAATCGGCTCGTACACGACCTCTTAACCCTTGTGGAATTATGATTTTTATGTGTTGAAACGAGGAAGAGACAATTTCATATTCCCGAAAGAATAAAGACTAATACTCTTTGAAAATTTACAACAAGTTCTCATGAATAAGTTAACGATTACATCTTCAATACAATAATGATTCTCCATTTATCCGTCCCAGAAAAATCTTCGATCACTTCACAGATTGCACTAAGAAAATTTCAATTCAAGTTCAACAGATATTTTTGGTAGAGTTTATCGTAAAAAAGTTTACCTCATTTTTCTATGTCAAACAAAAGCAAAAACAAAATTTCGCTTCTTTTAAAAATAGTTTTCACTTGACACAGATAATATATAAACATCCCGGCGAATGAGGCCAAAAAGGCAGGAAAATAAAATAAAAAAACCCTGCATGAAAATATATTTTTGCTGCTCGTCTGTGCGTCTTTATTTTATTGAGACATCTAATGTAGGTGTACAGACAAAGCAAAACATTTACCCAATACAAAAATTACCCATTTCTTTTCCAGATTTTTTTGATTTCATATAGTACGAGCTGAACGTGTGAAATTTACCTTTTCAATCATGTCTATCTTTAAAAACTGTCCTAAGCTAACCGAACTCTTAAAATCCTTTGAACAAAGCATAACATTCCTCAAAGGCTTTAAGTTGTATTTATTGGCCTTGCTTTATTATTAGATGGTTCAAGGTATTTGTACGAATTTCTTATACCATCTCGTATTTTTCAGTGTATCTGATAGAAAATCCCTACGTTTCGCCTCTACTGTATCAAAAAAGCTGAGTCTACTGCGAAAAACAAAACAAGCTTTAGTATATATATATATATTTCCGACCGTCTTTTCTAATCATTCTTCCCAGTAAGGTATAGAAATTTTAAAACAGAAATTCAGCCTTCACCCTAAAAACAAAACGGCTTGAAAACAATTTATTATGCTTTGCTGAAGTAAGCAAATATCATATACGTAGTATGTTCTGCTATTTGGTTCGCTATAATCCTGTTAATCCTGTTGAGGAAGAGGAAGTGTAATAATTTTAGGTGATTCTTTAATGAAGTGATCGTGCGCCCCTTTCGCTAATATTTTGTTACAAGTTTTGCGTTTAGCACTTGCATTGTTAATATCAACAAAATAATCCCAAACGAATAAAAATTGCACTTTTAATTTAAAATTTACACCACTGAGCAAACGCTATACAAAATAAATAAAACTATAACTGTATTAGTATTTTCGAAATGAAATTATTAGAACTGGCTAAGTGGGAGCTGAAAGTCCTGGACGTCTTTAGAGTAAAATAGGAAACTACTAAGAGACAAAAATTTGGATATATCAACACATGAAAAACTAGAAATAGATTTAAGCCCTAAACTATAATAAAGTTATTTGCATAGGGACAATATTATTATTAACTAAATTTTGCCGGTTATAATGCTGCACTATCGCTAATACTTCATAAACATAAACGGTTGATAACAATACGTTCATAATGTTATGGATTCAAAATGTTAGGGATTGTTGAAAACCGGAGCAGGTACCTGCACAACAAACAGCTTTGCAACAAGTATGTACGTTTAAATTGTGTTTTAAAAACGGCTAAGTTCAGCCAGCATATAAAAATAATAAATTTTTATGACTTGTTTTATTATTCCGATATGTTAATTTTCAAAAAGATGAGAAATGATTTTGTTAAGTTCCGATAAACTTATGATATAACTTATTTAAAATACACCATATTCCAGAAACAATAGTGACAAAAATGTTGGTCAGACCATATTAGATCGTTAGTTCCTGATAGAGTTTACTTTCTTGTGTTTTGTTTATAAATGCATTTTTTCTGCCACTATTTTTATCGGAATGTGAAGTATTTTAAGTAAATTGTATTGTCAAAACCAAGTAGTAAGACCTATATATTTTTCGATTTTTCCGAAATTTGCCCAGATTCCGCCTATGTATCATATTAAAAAAAAGCTCTAAATGATATGATAAAAAGCTGTACCAGACGGCATAAGGTTGAGACGACATGATTTTTTTTGCGCGTCAGCTCTCTAACTGCCACTGTTGTTGCTTTAGATTACTTATTAAAACAATTTACAGAAACTGGGAAGCTTAGCGAATATAGCACAAGGAGCTAACATATTAGCATGCGGGCGATGGTTTTAAAAATAAAAGACATATACATAACACCCCAATATAGTTAAAATATCTTGATATAAATCGAGATTATCTGTAATTTCACTTAAATGCGATAGCTTTAATATTTACCTTTTTATCTTTCCATCCAACCAGTGGAGGAAAACAAATGACAAAGCTGAGTATCCAAAGTCCTGCGATCAACAGTTTGGCTCTGGACGTAGACATGATGTTCGGATAGGTAATCGGTCGTGTCACAGCCACGTACCGATCCAAAGAAATAGCACAAAGGTTTAATATAGAAGCGGTGCACATCCATACATCCAATGCCAACCACATGCTGCACCATGTATCTCCGAATATCCATATCTGAAAAGATCGAAGTCAAATTTAAAGCAAATGAAGACTGGCTTCTTCCTCATTGACTGATTTATCACTATATGAAGTAATTAGCGATTCTATTGACTTAAAATTGGTGTAATATAAGTGATGAAATACGTATTGTTATCGTCTTTTTATTTTTCACGTTAGCCTACAAGAAGCGGTAAAGAAGATTCAAAATTTGTATGGAAAATATCTCCTTTAACATGACAAAAATAAGTGCGTTAGATCATAAATAACTAAACACATATCCATCTTATTAATTGCCCTAATAGAGTAGAATTCCACTCGGAAGCTTTCCGAAGTTCTGTCCCTAAATGAGATATCGAAGTTTCTACGGAAGGCACTATATAAACTGCCTGTATTTAGCTGAATCGTAACACTATAAATAACATACCAAACAGATAACCAAATAAGCATTTTAATGATTCGCCAAATTTCACTCACATGGTGCTAAAAGGGTAGTCAGGAATTGATTGATATAATGAACACCTAATTTTACGGTTTTGATTGATATCTCCCAAATCACTTTTCATTAAAATGAATATAACCATTAACAGCAAAGCATTATGAAATGAAAAGTGGTTTCCTCGGTGTGATTTCAATTAATAAGTTATATTTCACGAGATATCTGAATGCGTTTTTAAAATAAAAAACTAATAAAGGGTTTAATCAGATTAATTTCTATTTTCGATTTTAGGTAGTTACAATGTTTTATGAAAGTGAATTTGGACTATAGAATAATGCACAACGCGAACAAATTCCATACGGATCCTTTGGTTTGCTTTACAGGTAAACCTACATGTAACGTATTTCCAGGTTATGAAATACTTTTTATATGTAAGTACATAAGTATAACTTTAATTGACAATGTTTAAAATTCTTTCATAAATCCATTATCGATTTCTGTTTTCAAAAATTATGTATTTATTCATGCATATCTATTTTATCCTATTCAAAGTAATCCCAACCAGACATTATAAGTACACTTGTGCCAACGTTTTTTCCAATCCTCGAAGCACTTCAAAAAAAATCCTTTTTCTGTGATCTTGTTCTGTTCCTCCTTCGATGCCGTCTTTATCTCCTCAATAGTAGCGTAGTGTCGTCCTTTCATGGGTCTCTTTAGTTTCAAGAACAAGACAAAGTCACAGGGGGCAGATCTAGGAAGTACAGAGGCTGCGGCGTTATTAGTGTGTTGTTTTGTTCAAAAATTAGCACACAAGCAACGATGTGAGTAGGAGCGTTATCATTCTGCAAAAGCCAATTTTTGTTCTTCCACAAATCCGGGCGTTTTTGGTAGATTGCTCCAACGGTGATTCCACGATGGGCCAATACTATTTTTTTCATTTCATCAATGTTTTCATCTGTTGTTGACGTGCTCGGGCGTCCGCCACGCTCTTCATCGTTCACATCTTCTCGGCCCTCTGAGAACATTTTGTACCACCGATAAACGTTGCTTCGGTGCAAGGTAGCTTCACCATATGCCACAGTCAATATTCGGAATGCGTCCGCGCACTTAATTTCGTTTTTCACACAAAATTTGATACAGATTCTTTGATCCATTTTTTGGAATAGACAAAAATCGAAGACGAGCCAAACTACGGGCAAGCAAAGCAGCTGTTAAAAATTAACTGAAGATTTAACATGGCCGAACTTGTCGGTATATATCCGCGAAATTTCAAAATTCGCGATACTTTTTGAACAGACCTCGTATGTAGACGAAAAATATTTGAATTTGGTATAAATGTGACAGTTTCCTCGAATGGTTGTATAATGTCAACAGCATATTTGCTACGATATATTTTGTAAAATGTAGGAATATAACTACATCGTATTTTCTATCGGCTATTCACATGGAGATGGTGGAGATTTGTCTTCTTTCTGGATAGGATTTTTTCTCAGAAAGAACTTTTGTTTTAGAATAAATAAAGAATTCCTTTAAACAAGGTGAATACCCGACGTTGCAAAAAGGAAGTCGTATATTAAAAAGACTAAAAAGAAATCGTGGAAAATTATGTAGACTAATAAAGCTGCACAGTCTATACACAAAGGCTATTCTATAGATATAAAAATTCTTGGAATCTCCGAGTCCGCTTTAACCTTTGGGGATATAAAAATTTTAAAAAGTATCAAAATTAGTATTTATTATTATTCCAGATGAAATATTTATTTCTAAATGCTGATTTTTAAGCACCCTATAATGTAGGTATTTCGTATGATGAATTTTACGTCACAGGTTTAAGTTTTTAAGCAGAATTAAGTTATAGTTATTAAAAAAAATTACTAATATTATGGACACGGTGTCTTCCAGGGGAGAGAAAATAAATATAGTCGGTAGCGTAATAGCAGAGAATTCTTTGGTATACCAACTGACCATATAGGAGTAGGTATAACATATATCCAATTTAATTTGAAATATTTACAATCGTGATCGATAAATGAAAGACGCCGTAGGTATTATTATTGGAATTCAGTATCCTAAATAACTATAAACCCAATGAATATTCGATCTTTACATGATCTACATGGCTTTAAGGATTATTGTAAACGGGTAGTTATCTCACAAGCAAATTCAAGCTTTTTTGGTGATCGTTCATATAAATGGAGAAGAAATCAACTCGACGTTTTAGAGTCACGATGTACCTCACGGAAAAAGCTGCTTTGGATTTTTTTCGATACGACAAACAATAAAATTATGTATTATATCTAAGTGTGTAAATATAACCACCAACGCACCGGAAAAATTATCTTTTATTGCTCCATTGGACGCCAAAATGCGGAAGAAATAGACGAATGTTATGAAAGAGCTGATGCATTCGATGATAAAAGTCGTCTAGATTGTTGCGAACATCACTGACGTAGATACTGGTTACTATCTATCACTTTCTTAGTAGACACATGGGTAACTCTTATTTATTAAAGCACACATAATGGATATCATGAAGGTCTAGTCAGAGACATATTAGAGGCAGAAACAGGAGTTAGGAGGGGTAGAGATAGACCTAGGTTAGATTACTGTTCGCAAATAGTTAAGGATGTGAGTTGGTTTAGTTTTACGGAAATGCGAAGTTTAGCTCAGGATAAGAAAAAGTAGAGGTGCGTGTCCAACCAGTCTTAGAACTGACGACCTTATGATGATGATAAGATTTCGGTCTACCATCCCAGGAAGAAGTGGTCCTAAGAATGTTGTCCACGCGACTGAATGGAACATTTTGAAGTTTAAAAGTCTTATTTAGTGCTCAGTTGCGCGCTCATGACGATTTGAAATTAGACAAAATGAAAATTCAATTGAGGGAAGGGACAATTGAACGCATTGTATTTATATCTGGCTAGGAGCACGATGAATCCTTTAGTAATATGTACGTATGTCCCGTTGTGAAAACCAGATGTCACCACATCGCAGGCTTCGTATAACAGGTTATTAAATATAATTGAGGAAGCGGTCTGTCTGGCGGTTCTGCTAATGTGCATTTCTAATACGACAAACTAAGCAAAGTGCATGGAGCATCCACTTTAACGTTAATGCGCTATCTGCTCTCTCTACTTATAGTTCAATTAAACTTTGAGATGGGATTAATAACCACGTTTTGATTTCATTCCCGTTTTAATATCTCACAAAAACCGAGTATTCTAGGACAGAAAACCAATCCCTATGAGCAATTACGTACCACTATACGTATAGTTATTCAGATGTAAAAAGTTAATCAAAAAATGAAGTATAACTAGTCACTATTGTAGTTTGTGTATAGTTTCTGTTGCTTTTGTAGTAATGATTCCACAAACATTCAAGTAAATTTTTACAAACATTCTCGGTATTTCAAATAATTATTATTTTGAATGGCGACAATCAAAAAAATGAAGTCCCTATAGTTATTCTCACCTAAGAGCCAAAAATAGAATACTTTGTTAACAGGTCCGTTAGTCAATTATAATAAAAAGTAGGGAAAGAGCGAAAAATTTTAAGGAGTGGCTCATTTTTGATATCTAGGAAGTTCGATAAGTCAGGACGGAAGGAGTAGTAGGGATATAAAAGTATTGTTAAAGATGTATGTTTGGAGAGCGGCGCGGTATGGATGCGAAACATGGACAGTGGGCGCGGCGGAAAAGAAAAGGTTAGAAGTGTTCGAAATGTGGTGTTACAGGCGAATGATGAGGATACCGTGGATCGAGAAGGTTAGAAATGGAGAGGTACTAGAAAGAATAGGAGAACAGAGGACTCTATGCAAGTCAATAAGAAATAGGAAGATAGATTTGTAGAACACCTTCTCAGGCATGACGATCTAGCCAGAGACATATTGGAGGCAGAAGTGGGAGTTAGGAGGAGTAGAGGTAGACCTAGATTAGATTACTGTTAGCAAATAGTTAAGGATGTGGGTTGTTCTAGTTTTAAGGAAATACAAAGATTAGGTCAGGATAGGAATGAGTGGAGATACGTGTCCAACCAGTCTTAGGACTGACGACCTTATGTTGATGAGTCAATTAATTACTATAGGCTATCGCATCCATCGTAAAGTATATTACGTTTATAATTAGCGAAACTGCTCACATGGTATCGTTAGGTGAATATTAAGCCCGTCTTCTACACGGACGCTTTTAGGAACGATTTTTAGAGTTGGAGTGTGACATATTTGTAATCTAGTATCCAAAAAGCAGGTATGCATCTTCTAATTAAAACTATACCAAAACTTCGTCAAGAAGTTCGTGGGTACTTCAACAAACGTGAAAAGCAATTTACAGCTGTTACAGTTAACTTTTTATTACAAGATAAAAAGTACACTCCTAGATTAACCAAGTAGACTTTTTGAACTTAACATTGTTCTCTTCTTTCGAGATTTTCGGTGTAATTGGTAAAAAACTAAACTTTCCAATTTCCTGTTTTTGCACGGCAACGCTGATAATCTATTTAGTGGGATGATCACGAACGGCGATTGAGGCAGCTTTGTATGTAGCTCGAAAGCGAGCTAGCTAGCCAGCCACTTTAGGCAAAA